ACAAAACAGGATACAAAATAGGGCTTAGCACCACGAGGAAGAGGAAGGTCCTGTATTATGTTCTTCAGCACCAGAGACATAAGCTCAGTGGAGCATTCTCAATCTGGCATATCCCATGTACACCAGGCTCTGCTGAGTAATTTCAGAGCTAAAATCTCATGTCTGGGTATCTCTCACACCAAAGGTCATGTCTTCACACTGAGAGAAAGAGAACGTTACCTTCAGCAGGTCTAAGGACCTTCTAAATCCTTAGTGGTTAGGAACTAAGGAAGATTGCTCAGGAATGAAACTGGAGACCTCCTGAACAATGAAGCTTGCAGTTGACTTTGACACTTCTCATGGGCATTCAGGGAGAAGGCAGTTCCCACAGCACATGGCAAAGAAGAACATCCTTACATCCTTCCTGAGTCACACAGTTCACTCAGGCAGCCACAGCAGAGTACACAGCTGAAAGAGAGACATGCTTCTTGAGTCCTGGACTCCTCTTTCAAGTGCTCCACAGGATTTGTAATCCAGAAGTTTGGTGCACACGCTAAAAACGTTAAAGAAAAACAAGCTAAGATTTCCTCGTTCATTTAAGCAATCCAAAGACCAAGCCTGTGAAGGTGGCACAGCCTGGTGAGGCTCCTGGCCTGTCTGTTACAGTACAGAGCAAATCACCCAAGCAACACCTCCCTGTTCCTGGACAGGTACATGGGGCAAGGCCCCTGGGAAGCAAATGTGCCTCAACAGGCACAAGATGAGAAGTTCCACCAGTAGCTTACCCTGAAGACTGCAAGGTCACTTCAGCAAGAACATGACACACTGATTTAGACTGTGAACCACAATACTTGCTACTGAAAACATGACATGGCAGTTATCTGCTAAGTTATTTTAACCTTTTCAACTTTGAAAGTTAGGAAATGAACCAAAGTCATTTCAGGTTTAAGTCTAAGAATTGATTATCTGTCAAAATATTACAAGGAGCCACACACTGAAGTCACAAGTTCATGGGGAGAATGATACCTGACAAAAAGTCATCACATAAAAGCAAATGTTTCTTCATATCTGAAAGGATCAGTTGGTTTATAGGACCCATGTAAAGAGAGAATAATGGGAAAAACAAGAGAAGCTCACAAACAGGCAGAAATATGCCAGAATGCAGCTGCTGTCAATGAGAGCACAGCCCCTGACAGGCAATTATTCTTTGATCTATTGGCTGAAGCACTGAACAAACATTCTGAAATTCCACACAGAACCTTGTGCATATCACAACTCTGGTCACAATGACCAGTTGACTTTTATCATCAAGAGCCTTTTCAGGGCAGTGATAGTAAGAACCATTCAGAATGAGACAGTTTTCCTCCAAGGCGTATAGTCCAGGAAGAGGGAATTTAATCATAAATTCAGTTGCCCTTCCAGCAATGAAACCATTACTTACCAACTCCTGGACACAAAGATGCATCTACATGTGTAATTGCTCACTGATGGGGACAAAAGCTACATTCAGCACTGCAAAACAGATTTTTCTCATCTGTAATTCTAAAGGAATAAGCCAAGTGTTTCAAGTGTGACCCTACAGAAAAAAAATGGAAAAAACTGACACGAAGGTCTGGCACAAGCCTTTTCAGCATCCTCTGTCTGCTCCGTAATTCCTGAATGGGGAGTAGTGGTGACAAATTTAAGGACCTCTTCTAGAGTGCTACTTAATTAAGGGTGAGGTAATTTTCAGATCAAAATATTCAAGGTAAAGTCCATGACCTACAGAAACACGAGCTTTGCCATCAGGTTATTAAACAGATTCTAACTACGGCAAATTAAAACTCAAGAGTTACAAGTCAGAGTCCCAACAATGAAAAAGTCCACCCTAATTTTATATCACTTTACACACAACTTGAGGTCTAAAACCTAGCTCCAACATTTAATCACAGTAACTATCATTTCAAGAGTCAGTCTTTGGATTTCTCTGTCATCTCCTGTTCCACTGTCCAGCATGACAGCTTTGTCTTTGCTTAGGCTTCACCACCAGCAACACAATTACACCATGACAATCCCTGTGCCTAGAGCAGCAGTACAAGTGCTGCACTTGAGTGTGGCCAAGATGCAGTGAGAGGAGGCAAGTCCCAGCCTCACTCCTCGCTGTGGATACAACAATGCACCGTGATGACAGCTCCAATCCCAGCACAGCCAACGCTTCGGGAGCAAACACACTGAGAATCTTCAGCAGAATCCCAGTGCCTACAAAGACACACACATAATCACCTCTGGTTCTGACTGAGGATTGAAATACATGTTCAGGAGACAGCTTTCCCACTATAAAGCAGGCTTTAGAGCCATTCTGCTGGAAGCACTGGCTGTAAAGCAAACTGAACCGTGAGCTGGAGCTCGTAAAAGCTTATTCACAGAAAAGGTGCGTATTAAACCCGACCAGCACAGCACTAAAATGGTCTGCCAAGGCAGAACACGGTGGAGGTACGGCACGAGAACGGACCCTTTCTGCCCCCTGCAGTTCCCACTGCTCCCTGGATTTTCAAGGCAGGCTTAGGAGGGATAGTAGTTACCATTCTAGAACCAGAACCATTTACATCTGGCTCTCACCAACAGCCAAGGCATTTTTACACCTACCTTTATCTGAGCAGCAGTTAAACTGCCCAGTGCCTTCCATAAAGATCAATTACATATATGGAATGTTTCCTGTGATAAACATATAATGTGACTGTCCTTGATCATGCAATAAAAAGAATATCACTTGCTAATAAACCTTTAATTTAGCCTCATCATTTCTTTGATTAGGATTAAGAAGAATCTTCAGCAATGAATAGGTGCTCTTAAGCAGTCGCAGCTTGCTCCTAAAATATATATACACATATACATAATATATGTGTATGTAAACTATTAAAGGACAAAGGATTGCTTTTGAGTTATATGGACTATCTAGGTAATTTTATTTCTAGTTATTAGACTATAAATACACCACCAAACAGAAAACACCCTTTTCCTATTTTACATGTAAAACTGTCAGGCATACATATGTACAGAGAATTTCAGTGAATTAAAATTCCATGGAAGAAGGTCTCATGTTCATATACATAAGGAGTGAATAAAGTACCATAACTGTCATTTATAGACTTTCTTCAATCCTTACAAACATAGACAGGGAATTGAATCCCAATTTAGCTACCCAAAATGTTCCCCCATACTGATCATGTACACCCACATATTTCAGGTGGGCTGGATTCAGAAACCCAATTGTTTTCATACTGGCAACCTGCTTAAAAAAAAGTGGGGGGAAAAGCATTTTTAGCATGTACTAGGAAAACTGGTGTTTTTCCTGGGCTGACAGATAATTTTGAAACAATCCTGTTCTGCTTTACGAGCCTGGCTGTGCAAAGAGGAAGTGAGAACAGATTGATTACAATGGAATATTCTGTATTTTCAGCTGTTTTCTTAAGCAATGATGAACACATCCCTGCATTAGATTTCGGAAGGAAAAAGCTGTTGCAGCACACAAGAGGTATGCAGGTTACACAGGATGCTCCATATTTAGAAAAAGGTAATTCTGCTAATGAAATTTTATTTTCATTCTTCCACATAGCACTTGCTTTATATTTGTCTGAGACATCTTCATACCTCACTTGCCATTTTTTTCTTCCACAGCACAGACACTATTTTTTCTCCATTTAAGCTGAAAGCACCATCAACTACATCCCAATTTGTATTTTAACATGCTATAGGCTAAATAAACCCAGATTTTGACTAATATACTCCATAATATCAACCCGTAGGGAATTGTAAGGTATTTAAAACAAGTCTGGCTATACCTTGCAAGGCTATCGAGTAATTAAATCCATTTAAAACGTTTTTCTTCTCAGATTCCATTTTTTCCTCTTTAGGTAAAAAAATTGGGAACTGGATTATCCTGAGAACATGAACTGAGCACAGAGAAATGGTTTGGCACCTCACCCTTTAAGTCCATCCTTCATGCTCTAGTTCTATTATGAATAATAAGCTGAGCAGCTTAATGCAAAGCACTGGGATCACAAAGTTTTCAATGGGTTGTTCCAACAAAAACACAATCCGTGCTGTCCCAAACCCCAAGTTTTGCTCCGTGTAGCTGCTGCCTTCCCCTCCTCAGCCACCAATGCGACGACTGACAGAAATCTGCCAAGTCACTTTGAAGTAAAAACTAGTTGATTCTAGGGAAAAACAGTAATTAGTTGCACAGTACATAGAGCAGCCCTCCAGAAGCATACATGTGTATAAGGATGTTATTACAGGAGATAGGTGGGGAAAAGCACTCTTCCTGCTTTTTGCCTGGATTACAGGGATTTTTCCCAGGCGCCAACCCCTCCTACCGTTCCCTGTACTCCAGGCTGAGCCAGTTCCTTTCCCCACGCCCCACCAGAGCAGGAATCTCCTTTTCCAAGTGGATTATCAGCACGAGCAGCTTTTTTTTTTTTTTTTTTTTTAAGGAAAACCACACACATAACCGAGCGAGCCGCAGCCCCCGGCGCCGGGACCCGCTCCCAGCCATTGTGCTCCGCGCAGCCCCCCGGGCTCGGGCGCGGCCCCGCGGGGCTCCACAAAGCTCCGCCACAGGCCGGACGTGCCCGGTGCCCCGGGCCTCCCCTCCCCCCGGTATTCCGGGAAACCTCCGGGAGGAGGAGGAGGAGGAGGAGGAGAAGGAGGAGGAGGAGGAAGCGGCGGCGCTGCGGAACAGCCCCGCTGCGGAAAAGCCGCCGGGGCAGGTGGCAGGGAGGGAGGCCCCGCCGGGGCTGCTTCCCTCCTCCATCCCGGTGCCCCCCCTCGCCATCCCGGAGGCACCGAGCGCTTCCTCCTCCCTCCCCCCAGGACCGCGTGCGGGAGCTCGGGCCCACCTGCCCCGTGGGGAGGGAAGGAGGGAGGGCTACAGGGGGACCGGACCCGTCCCCTCCCCGAGGCGGCGGCGGGTGGGTCGGGGAGGGAGGGAAGGAGGGAGGGAAGGGAAGGGAAGGGGGGTGGATGCGAGCCGCCCCCGGTACCTTGCGCTTCCTGGTCTCGGCCGAGCCGCTCCACACGAAGCACTGGTAAATCGCCCGCAGGTTCTGCTTCCAGTTCTCCACCTTGAAGCCGGTCACATGGCAGCACCCGGCCGCCGGCGGACTCATGTCAGACCCCCCCACATCAATCCGCCCGCACACGGGCCGGGCCGGCGGGCAGCGAGCCGGCCCCTTCCCCCGCCCCGCAGCACCGACACGGGCCGGGGCCCCCCCGCCCTCAGGGGCTCCGGCCCCTCACGCCGCCGCCGCCGGGGAGCCGCTGGCACATAGAGCCGGGGCTCCGCCACGGCCCCCCGGCTCCGAACAAAGCGCGGCGGGCGGGCAGCGCGCACTCCCTCCCGCCCTTCTCCCGCACACACAAAGATGGGGCGCTCTGAGGCGAGGAGAAGGAGGAGGCGGCGGCTGTAGCGGCCGCTGCCGCCCCCGGAGTGGCCGCCGCTCCCTTCTACCTCATAGAGGCCGCTGTGGAAGCGGCGGGCGGAGGGGAAGGGAGGGGATGGGGGCGCTGGCGGCGACGACCCCGGCCGCGGTGAGAGCGGGCGTGTGTGGGGAAGGGGGCGAGTCCCCGCCCGCCGCCGCTCCGGCTTCCCCCGCCGGCGCCCGCACGGCTCTTGTCCCTTTAAACCGCCCCCCCGCCTCCTTCGCCGGCTCCTTCCTCCTCCGCCTCGCCCGCGCCCCCCCCGCCCGCCGCGAGCAATGGTCCGAGCCGCTCACTCAACCCAGCCCGCCCGGCCCGGAGTGGGATAGACCAACGGGGAAGGTGCGGGAGGAGCGCCCCCTCTGCCCCGCCGCCCGCGAGGGTGGGAGCGGCGGGGGGAAGGAGCGCGCCGATTGGTCCATCCACCTGTCAATCTACTCATCTCTAGCGTCTCATTGGTTCCTTTCCCTTTCTTCTCTCCCCCTCCACCCTTCCTACCTAGCATTTCCCCCGCCGGAAAAAGGCGGGACATCCCCGACGATTAACAGCTCATCTGACCAACGGACATAAAGGGTGGGGTCTATGTGGTGGGAGCGGCAGTATGGTTGGTTGGGGTGGACGTCAGTCACGCTGCAGGCGGAGAGCGGATTGGCTGCGTCCGCGAGGGGGGCGGTCCCTCCCAGAGCGGCCTTCGCTGCTGTCACATCCGCTGGTGCCGCTCTCGCCGTTCCCTCAGTGGCTTCCTGAGGGGAGCGGGGTCTCCTGAGGGGAGAGCGATCCCCGTGCTCCCGGGAGGGCTCCGCGCCACGCTCCGACCGGCTCCCAGGACCATATATGGCCCCTCCATACCGCCAGCCTGCGTCCTGGTGTTCCACAGGGAAGAAACAAAAGCGGTGTATAACCAGAACTGGTGTTATTTCAGCTTTTTCCTGTACAAGGAAATGGGAGGACAGTGAAAAATGTTGGGATCTGTACATAGTTTTCAGCTTGTATGCCACACACACTATAGGGTTACATAATGGAGTGAGGCAGGGGGGAAAGGATGGGAATTATGCCGTGGTTTCTCAAGAGTGAGAGTGGAGGCTTTGCAGAGGCTTCTTAGACAATCACTGCAAACGCTGTGCAACAAGGAAATAAGTGGCAAAGTGCCACCACATTATTTCACCAATCCCATTTTTCAGTGCATGCTAATCCCATTCCTCAGAAGCTGCAACCTTGAAATCTTCACCTTGCAGATCCCCATATAGCGTCCAGTTTCCTGACCTGCTGCTGCAGCTTGCCAGAAATAAATACAAAAATTTGTGACAATCACCTGAGGACTTTCCGTTTCCTCCAGAGGTGCTGCTGGTTTAAAAAGAAAGCAAGGTAAATGGAAGGAAGCTTTGTTTGTGATCTGTACGTAGCTAGAAGGTTTGGTGGCAAAGCAGGGCTGAGCAAAGAGCTGGGTTTGTGCCCCCAGGCTGAGGCAGCAGCAGGACACGCTGTCCCTCTGCGTGGGACACCTGTAATTGCTGCTCCTCGTGGCTCACACTACTTATTAGCCTCTCCCAGAAATCCCTCTTCCACCCAGTCTGGGGATTATACTCCAGTGATAAACCTGGAATTGCCCCACAGGTGGAAAAATAAAGGTGCCAAGAGCCAGGAGAGGACCCGATTATCCCGCTGTGTACACAAATTGCACTGAATGTTTCAGAAGATTATGAGTGGAATGTGGAGGGAGGCTGTACCCTCTCTTTGACCCTGTGTAATCATTAGACCTATTAAGTCATCACAGTGCAGCCTACAGCTCCTTGGAATGGGAGCAGCAATTGGTGCTGCACGTCCTTCCCGTGTTAACCCAACTTCCAGGAGAATTAACCAGTTTTCAAAAGCAGGAGTCAGAGCCAGGCCCCTTCCCTGAGAAAACCACCCTCAGAAAAGAGGGAAGTTAAGGATTACCAGCTCAAGGTGCACAGAAGGGAACAGGATGGGTGATTAGTGTCCTAACAGCATCTAATAATTATTCTCTGAATATTTCCAATTAAACAAAGCCTCCGATACTGCTACAGTCTAAATACAAGCAGAAAGTTATTCTTATTCTGCACCAACCTACGGTTACTAATCTGGGGCTTTTCTCCATGGCTACCACATCAAAACAGGAGATAAAGATAAAAGAGAGAATTTCTGCCAATGAAATTTAAGTCCATCTCACTGAAAAAACAGGATACCAAAGAGACAATACATATGTTCAAGGTCCTGCAGACTCTGAAATTTTCACAGAGATTTCTCTGCCACTCTGTCTTGCAGAGTCCCTGTGTTTACTCCCTTTAGGGTGTGCTGTCTTATGCAGAAATAACAAGAATTGTGAGTTTAAACACAATTGCTTTAAGAAACACATATTTTAGTGGTTCTCTTTCAAAGAGAGAACCTTTGAAAAAATACTGATCTTTCTCCCTCTGGCCACTTCCAGAACAATTATCACAGTTACCTACTCCTGTCCTGGAGGTTTCTGACCCTGCTGAGGGTGTGAGGAGCATCCTCTGAGCCACAAAGGACCCACATGGAGGATCCCACATGGAGGACACCCATCCTGGACCCCACCTGGTGAGAGCCACTGTCACTTCCCAAAGGCAGCAATGCAGAAATTTAAAGATCAACTCTTAGGGGACATTTCCAAAGTGTAGGTGCTACCTTTCAAACTTAAAGCTCCCCCAGGGTTCCCTTGGCACCTTATCTCCATAAAAGGGGTTTACTTATGCTAGAAATTCAACTTGGGCTTCTTTTGGTAAATTGGAACCAGAGTAAAAATCCACTTAGGAACAGTGTAGAAAACAGTGGCTTTTGAGATTTTTTTGAGGCCAGCTCCTGATTTGGGGGGCTTGAGGCAAAACTCTACACATGTCATTAAACCCTTTGCTTTCTGTCCTGTGAAGACACCAGAATCTTTCCTATGAAGTGTAAAAACTTCCAACTGTACAAACACTTCTTGCTTGTTGCAGCCCACACACTAAAGGCGACACAACAGCACAGAGCAGCAGCCAAAACAAAACAGGAGTGGAAAACAGTGACAACATTTTGTCAGGTAGTAATTGTCAGATCAGGGCCTGCTTGCTGCACACACACACACACAGACACACAAGTTTACAAGTTTGCTGTAGTTTAATTTACTCTTGGGCATAGCTTGGGAATGTTTCTAGAAAAAACCTTTTGGTGCAGCAGATAGCTTGGGAAAGGATTTGCCTCTGGGGGGAAGAAGCAGTTTCATTCTCTCCTGTGTCTCTTAGAAGAATTTTTAATTTTAAAGCATTGATGATTATGCTAATTAGTGCTTACCCTCAAATGCCAGTGGAATATAAATGTTGATAGTAGCTAAAACACACTGCAAATGTGCAGCAAAGTCTTCCTCCAGAGAGGCATCTGCGTTCCATGATAGCTCAGCTGGGGAGAAGCAGCATTCTTCACATGGAGGAGCAGAGTAACTGCCTCTTCTATCCATGTCATCCCAAGGTGGCACTTGTAGGCTCCTCTAGATAGCCATGAATCAGCTGTCACCTCATCACCTGGGCATGCTCTGCCATGATATGTGTTAAAATGTCCAGTTTCATTCTTAGGTAAACAGGAACCTTTCCCTTTGTCCAGGTGTGTGAGCAGCATCAAGGATTTGGGTAGGATTCCTCCCATAACCCTGGATTACAAGTGGAGCTGGCCTAAGTTTGGACCTGCAAGAGGCTGAAGGCCCTGGCTCCACAAGTGGAATTGAAGGGGGGCGTTCAGGAGCTTTGCTCCTGCAAGCACAAAGGCTCTCCATGCTAATAACCAGTACAGAATATGGGAAGATTCCTTAGTACCTCTCCTGCTTTTTTTCAGGCACTCTAAAAATACAAGTTCTTCCACATTCTAAAAGGAAAGAACTTACAGAACTACTATGCTTACCTAAACACACACAGAAAAATATTTCAAAGCCTAAAAATAACACTATTACCTCTTAAAAATTACCCTATTTTTAATCTTCAGGATTTTTTTTTCCCTGAGCTCAACTCTTTTGTCATCCAAGCATTGTAAACTTCCATGCAAGTAGGACTGCCATTGCTTAATCCACAGGCTTTAAAGCAGATGAGGCTGAATGTCTGGCTGCAGGGCTAAAAGCTCTGGAGATACCAGAGGCAGAATCCATTGTGTGATTCTGCCTGAAGCTGATTGCTTCTGAATCCCTGTGAAGTTCAGCTGAGTTACCTCAGACACCTGAAGGTTTGTAGGGGAACACTGGTACCTGTCATTTATCTTGGGGAAGGAATACTGACCTTGCTACAAAACCAAAGGGGTTGGAAAGTCCCAGCTATGCCAGCTTCTCTAAAAAGCCTGGTTTTCATCCCAGTCCATCAGTAATGGCACCTGGTAGGTGCCAGAGCAGAGATTTCCACATGGCTCAGTCTTAGCTTAGGACACAGTGGTTTCTTGGATCCACAACATTCCATGATAAAGGATTGGTTCAGCTGAGCAGACCCTGCCAGAAGGATGATTGTCAGTCCAAGGGCTGCACAGACAGGTGGATTTCAGTGGTTAAAGCTGACTTTGGATTCATGGCCCCCTGTATAGCAAATTTAAAGGTACTGACACTAAAATTCCTTGTCTTTGAGATCTTTTGCAGACCTCTTCAAAGCAGTGCACAAGACTCCAAGGATTCATGGCCTGTGGATTGAAAATAGTCCTAGAAAAACACAATGCCTCTGCTTATTTTTCTGCAGATCCCTCGTTAGATTTCCCGTCAGCGCTGTCAGAGGGTGAAATCTTGGCCCCAGCTGAACTCAACAGGAATTTTGCCACCGACTTGAATGGAGCTAAAATGTCACTCCTGCTATTTGTCAAGGCAATTACATCCAGACAATACTTTTAACATCTGGCTTCAAGTGAACACACAGAGCAGTTCACTCCCTCAGCCTCTGAAGACAACACAGGACATTGGCTATCTCCATAAGAAATGAAACATTTGTCCTTGGCAAGCTGCTTGTAATGAAGAGGGGATCCATCCAGTGACATCCAGGAACCAAGTCCCTGTTCCTCAGCCTATAGTTATTGGCAATAGCATCAATAGATTTTCTGTCACTTTCTGGGAAGAATGTCAAAAGCACCCATGTACTGTTGCAAGTCATTCTCTTGTAAAAACTTTGTTTAGAACAGCAGATCTGGCCTCATCTGTGGTTTCTCACAGACAAGGGGGGTTTTCACCCAGTTCATCTCCTGTTTCCCAAGGCACTGGAAGGTCCCTTCCTAGGTCAGGGAGCAGCATTTCTATCTAAACCTTTCTCTGAGTATGGTGGTCAAAGGTAAGGCTGAAGGACAACTGATTATAGGAGAAAA